GTAGTAGTAGTAGTAGTAGTAGTAGTAGTAGCAGTAGCAGTAGCAGTAGCAGTAGCAGTAGCAGTAGCAGTAGCAGTAGCAGTAGCAGTAGCAGTTTCATGTCCCCCCATCTCCCTCCTCCTCCTCCTCCGCCAGCCCCACCTCCTCCGCCTCCTCCCTCTGGTGCCTGGTGCCTGGAGGCATAAGGATCAGTCGGATGCCGCCGTCCTCCTCCTCTTCCTCCTCGTCCTCCTCCTCCTCCTCCTCCTCCTCCTCCTCCCTCTTCCCCTCCTTCCCCTCCTCGCCCTTTTGCCTTTCCCCTCTCCGTCCTCCCCTCCGCCTCCGCCGCCCTCCTCGCTCTCCCGCCCTCTGCGCTCCTCTCGGCGGCGGCACGGGAGCGGCGGCCTGCGCCCGCGGCCGCCCAGGGAGCCGCCGGAGTCGGAGCCGCTGGGGCCCCATGTGCCGCGCGCCCCCGCGCCGCCCCCCCCGCACCGCAGGGCGCGCAGGCCCGGGGCGGCCGCGCCCCCCCCCCCCCCCCCGCAGACCAAGGTGGAGTTTTGTGGCATCCGCTTCTGTTTCGTCCGCTTCTGTTTCGTCCGCCTTTTGTTTCGTCCGCTTTTGGTTCGTCCGTCTCTTGTTTCGCCCGCTTTTGTTTCATCCGCTTTTGGTTCGTCCGCTTTTGTTTCGCCCGCTTTTGTTTCGTCCGCTTTTGTTCCGTCCGCTTGTATTTTGACCGCTTCGGTTTCATCCGCTTTTGTTTCGTCCGGTTTTGTTTCGTCCGCTTTTGTTCCGTCCGCTTGTATTTTGACCGCTTCGGTTTCGTCCGCTCTGTTCTGCGTGATTCGTGTGGAGGCTGAAAGAAGGATCAATTTAAACCGGGCGAATTAAAACCGCATGACTTTTACCCCGGCGAATTAGAGCCGGATGAATTTGAACCTGACGGAAAAAAACATATGGATTTAACGGGCGAATTAGAACCGGATGAATTCAAACTGGACGAATTAAAACCGGATGCTTTTGAACGGACGAATTTTTACCGGATGAATTCAAACCAGGCGAATTACAACCGGGTTAGTGTTTTAACCGGGCGAGTTGAAATTGGATGAATTTGAATCGGGCCGCTTAAAACCAGATAAATTCAAACAGGTGCGCGTGACAAGCGTTTTATAAAAGCGATTGCGTTGCTCAAACTATTTTCGCCTTCTTCCAAGCCAAGCTTGGCACTAGGGCACCACAAGGGGGTCCACCGCCAGGGGCTACGGCCCTCCAGGATTCGCGCCAATTGTGTGTGTGGGCAGTGTTTCAGGCGATTCGCCTGTTTGCCATTCCGCATGTCTCTTTTCCGACATCTCTGCAGGAGGAGGACGACGACCACGAGCAGGGATGAGGAGGGAGGAGCAGGAGGAAGAGGAGGAGGAACGACCAGAGGAACAGGTGAGGCGACGACGACGACGACCGACGACGACCAAGATCGGCGACGACGATCGAGGAGGAAAGAGTATCGCAGACCACTATCCCACATCGCTTTGCCTCGTTGTCTCTTTGTTGTGTCTCCTGGGAGGCCCTCGTCGCTCGCCACCGCTGGATTCTCGTTGAAATCCGGGTCAGAACGCATCCTGGGAATGGTTCGGGGAAGAGGGAGTAGCGGTATCGGTACCTTCTCGTTTCCCCAGACCACAACGATCGACGAGGAGGGGGACCGCCCACGCCGTCGCCCGCCTCTTCGCTGCCGTCGCCGTGGTGTTCCCTTTCGGTCTCGTGATGTCGATCGGTAGATCGACTGTGAGAACGATCGTGAGATCAATCATGCATTCGATAATGATATTGATAGGGACACCGATTGAGATCCATAATGAGATCTATGATTGATCGAAACATGGATTGTGAGATCGCTTGTGGGCTGGTGGACGTTCAGACCGATGTTCAAGTCGCTAGGTTGTCTGATCGATAGTGGGATCGATCGTGATAACTATCGCGGCACCGATCGTGATATTGATTGTTACATTGATTGTAAGGAGGACGACAACGACGAGCAGGGAGGAGGAGGGAGGAGGAGGATGAGGACGAGGAGGAGGAGGAATCACCAGACGAACAGGTGAGGCGACGACGACGACGACCGACGACGACGACGAAGATAGGCGACGACGATCGGAGAAAGAAAGAGTATCACAGACCACTATCCCACATCTCTTTGCCTCGTTGTCTCTTTGTTGTGTCTCCTGAGAGGCCCTCGTCGCCACCGCTGGATTCTCGTTGAAATCTGGGTCGGAACGCATCTCGGGAGTGGTCCAGTGAAGAGGGACTGGCGGTATCGGTCCTTCTTCGATACCCCAGACAACGACGACCACGATCGACGAGGAAGGGGGCCGCTACCGCTGTCGCCTCCCTCGTCACTGCCTTTGCCGTGGTCGTTTCATTGCGGTCTCGTGATGTGGATCAGTAGATCAACAGTGAGAAATATTGTGAGATCGATCATGAAATCGATAATGAGATCGATGAGGAGACCGATGGTGAGATCCATAGTGAGATGATTGATCGAAGCATGGATTGTGAGATCGCTTGTGGGCTGGACGTCAGATCGATATTCAGATCACTACTGACACCGATGGCGACATGGATTGTCTGATCCATGGTGGGATCGACTGTGATATCGATCGTGGCATCGATTGTGAGATCGATTGTTATATTGATTGTCCGGCCGCTCGTGATATCGATAGTGACATCCATTGTGAGATCCATATTCGCATCGATACCGAACTCGATCGTGACATCGGTCGGGAGATCCGTGGTGACACCGATTTTCAGGTCTACTGTGAGATCGATACTGACAGAGGTACTGACATCGATGGTGATATCGCTGGTGCAATCGACACCGAGAAGCATTATTCAATCGAGGTGAGAAGATTGGCGTGACCGATTGTGACATAGATAGTGAGATCGATTCAGAGATCCATCTTGGGATCCATAGTGAGACCGATCGAGTATCACCGATAGGGATGCAAAGGGACATCGCTAGTCAGAGCGATGGGGAGATCGATTGTCGCATCGCTAATGCGAACGACAGTGACATCGAACATCGATCAAGACGGATGTTCGATTTCCCCATAGTTGGTTCGTGTTCTCTTTTTCTTGTTTTCCCGGTGCCTGTGTCGTGGTCTCGCTTTCTCTGACCCTGGTTCGTTTTCTAGTTTTCTCGTTTTGTCGGCAATTGGGTCGTGGTCTCGTGTTCTCGGACCCTGGTCCAGTTTTTTTGTTCTGACCCTGGTTCGTTTTCTCGGACTCTGTGTTGTGTTCTCGTTTTCTCGTTTTCTCGGACCTTGTGTCGTGGTCTCGTTTTTCTGGACCCTTGTTTGTTTTATCGTTTTCTTGTTTTGTAGGCCCTGGTTCGGTTTCTCGGTTTCATGTGTTCTCTGCCCCTGGGTCGTGTTCTCAGTTTCTCGGACCCTGGTTCGTTGGCTCGCGTTCTCGGCCCCTGGGTCGTGGTCTTCTTCTCTTTGACCCTGGTTCGTTGTCTCGTTTTCTCGTGTTCTTTGCCTCTGGGTCGTGGTCTCGTTTTTGTTGACCCTGGTTTGTTCTCTCGTTTTCTCGTTTTCTCGGCCCCTGGGTCGTGATCTCGTTTTCTCCGGCCCTTGCTAGTTTTCTCGTGGTCCCTTTTTCTTCGTGCCCTGCTTCGTTTTCTAGGTTTCTTGTTCTCTCGGCCCCTGGGTCGTGATCTCGTTTCCTCGGACCTTGGTATATGTTCTCGTTTTCTCGCTTTCCGGGCCACTGGGTAGTGGTACCGATTTCTCTGACCCTGGTTCGTGTTCTGGTTTTCTCGTTTTCTCGGACCTTGGGTCGTGATCTCGTTTTCTCTGACGCTGGTCGTGTTCTCGGTGTGTCCTGTCTTCGGCCCCTGGGTCGTGGTCTCGTTTTCTCGCACCCTGGTTCGTGTTCTCGTGTCCTCGGTCCCTGGGTCGTGCTCTCCTCCTCTCGACCAATGGTTCGTTGATTCGTTGTCTCGTTTTCTCGGCCCCTGGTCCGTGGTTCGTTTTCTCGCTTTCTCGGCCCCTGGTTCGTTTCTCGTTGCCTCGGCCCCCAGACCCTGGACCGTGGTCCCGTTTCCTCTGACCCTGTTTCGCTTTCTCGGCCCCTGGGTCGTGGACCCGTGTTCTCGGACCCTGGTCGTGATCTCGTTTTCTCGGGCCTTCGCTAGTTTTCTCGTTGTCTTGTTTTCTCGGCCACTTGGTCGTGGCCTCGTTTGCTCGGACCTTGGCTAGTTTGCTCGTTGTTTCGTTTTCTCGGAACCTTGGTCGTGGTCTCGTGTTCTTGGACCTTGCTTCGGTTTTTTGTCCGACCCTGGTTCGTTTGCGTTGACCTTGGTTCGTGTTCTCGTTTACTTGTTTTCTCGGACCCTGTGTCGTGGTCTGATTTTCCCTGACCCTGGTTTGTTTTCTCTTTTTCCTGTTTTGTAGGCCCACCCTGGTTCGTTGTCTCGGTCTCTTGTGTTCTCTGCCCTTGGGTCGTGTTCTCGTTTTCTCGGACCCTAGTTCGTTTGCTCGCGTTCTCGGCCCCTGGGTCGTGGTCTCGTTTTCTCGGACATTGGTTCGTGTTCTCGTTTTCTCGGTTCCTGGGTCGCGCTCTCGTTTTCTCGGATGTTGTTTCGTTGTTTCGTTTTATCGTTTCATCATTTTCGACGACCCTGGTCAGTTTTCTTATGTTATTGTGTTCTCGGTCCCTGGGTCGTGGTTTCGTTTTCCCGGACCTTGGTTCGTTTTCTCGTTTTTCGTTTTCTCGGACCTTGGTTCGTTTTCTCGTCTTCTTGTGTTCTCGGACCCTGGTTCGTTTTCTCGGACCCTGGTCAGTGTTTTCGTTTTCTCGTTTTCTCGGACCCTGGGCCGTGGTCTCGTTTTCTCTGACCTTGGTTCGGATTCTCGGTTTCTCGTGTTCCCGGTCCCTGGGTCGTGGTCTCCACCTCTCGATAGTAGGGTGACCCTGCCAAATCAAGGGTACCTTTGTGCCCTGTGTCTCGCGACTCGTGCCTCCTGCATCCCTACGGCAATGTGGTCCCCGGAAGGGTCGTCTCTTGTCCTCTCGCGTGTCCTGTCCAATGAAGTCCGACTTCATTTTACTCTTATTCTCGGTCCCTGGGTCGTTTTCCCGTTTTCTGTGACCTTGGTTCGGTTTCTCGTTTGCTCGGTTTCTCGTCCCCTGGGTCGCGGTTTCGTTTTCTCGGGGCCTGTTTCGTTGTTTCGTTGTCTCGTGTGTTCTGCCCCTGGGTCGTGGTCTCGTTTTCTCGGACCCTGGTTAGTTGTCTCGTTTTCTCGGCCCCTGGGTCGTGGTTTCGTTTTCTCGGACCCTGGTTCGTTTTCGTGTTTTCTCTGCCCCTGGGTCGTGGCCTCGGTTTCTCGGACTCTGGCTTGTTTTCTTGTGCTCTCAGCAGCTGGGTCGCGGTCTCGTTTTCTCGGACCCTGGTTGGTGTT